TATCTCAGTAAACCATTTTTTCCAGAATGAAGTGCTACATAAAATTTAACACTGAAGTTTTTATATGATAATTTTCAAAGAGACACTATAAGAGAAGATAATACAACACTATTTTCTCAGCAATCAGAGTGATTTGGGGATTTGAGGAAGATTATAAGAAATGACAGGGATGATATGAGCCCTCACTTACCACCACCAGGGAGGGGCAGTATATTCCCAACACAAGCTGGTCAGTGCTTACAGTAAAGGACACTCGAACACTGTACTCTTAATACTTATCTTTATTATGAAAGTGTTTCCAAAGTAAAATGATCCTCATAATAATGATTGCTTCCAGAGATCAAGAATGAATAATTATGTTTCATATAAAAATCAGCAAAATACAATAACAATACAGGAAATAATTCTAATTGGCTAACAGTACATCATTCCATTTCTGACAGAGATGCTCAAGCACTGAGTTGTCTTAAGAAAAGAAGTAAGGTTTTGTCACCTATCCTACTTCTCACTGAAAGTTGAAAAACAAAAATCCAAACACTAATCATACCACCCCCTTCCATGACAACAAATGGCTGTGAAGGTAAATGACTATGATGTGGGTAAACAAGCAGTTGATGAAAACTGTGAGCTTCAGGGCTTTGTGAAACTTTGGGAAACCAAACCTGAAGGGTGTTTTCCACATTTAAGTTAATGAAGCTCTAAGTTCTAATTTCTAGAATCATTACCTAACTGCTTCTATTACAGAGCTAATTTTTTGTTTGTGCAGCTAATCTTTAAAAATCCTTAATTGTTAAGGGCAGTTTACAGACAGTTTAAAACAATTACTATAGATAAAAGTAACAAAAAATATGGAATGAAATCTAATTTTTCACCAAACACAGAAACCATACTAACAGCTGTTTTCCCTTTGGTTTCCAGGTCACAGAATATATACCAACATCGGAAGCCAAGCTTTCATGGACCCATGGTAAGGAAACACACAGAGATGGGCACAATACTTTTTTCCCCCAGAAAACTGGGTCCAGGCAGAGAAGGAGGGGTATTGGGGAAATTGAAAGCTGAATAATAACAACTCCTGGCTTCATTTTATTAAGAATTTTAGAAGATGTAAAAGAATATAAGTGAATGAGATAAACAAGACGGATCTTAAACTAAAAAGTCCCTTACATCAATGAGAATGCCTAGTTTCACAGACAGGCCATATGTCATCTGGCACAATTTCTTTGCCCCTGAAATATAGTCATTTGGTAATGAGTTCCTTTCAACTTCAGGTTGAGGTCTAGTTGAAAATATCTGGAAAAGACTAACATTCTCCTTTTGATGTCTGCAGATTCCAATAACAGTATTAATGATGTTTTATGCTCTCCCATACAATTTTCTTCGTGAAAATCAGCAACAGGGATGCTACCTCTGGGTATTCATTAGAGGAGTTCCCACAGAAGAGTGGTCCAGGCTCCTCAGCATCCATGGAGTGCCCCCTAGAGGTGGTTGGGTACTGTGTACACAAAGGCAAACTATAGGACCTGTCTCTGACCTAATTGCTATGTGGTAATTTGAGAATGGCACAATTTCATTTCACCAAGAGAAACATAAGATGTTTCTGGGGACAACAATATCTTTAAGAATTTTCCTTAAGGACAGTCTGTGATTGATAAGCTGTTTATGATCACTCCTTCCATGGGCAGCACATGCAGTAACTAGAGCTCCTTTCACTTCCTTTTCCGTACAAGTTACCTAGAATCTGAAAGTACCATGTGATTACTGTCCCATCAAGCTGAACTTCATCTTATTTGATTTTTTTTCTCATTTAGATGTTATAAATATTTCTGGGCTATTATTATTTATCTACAGAGCAGAAACCAGCCAAAGGCAAAAATGTAAACTTTTTAGAACCTAAGACCTCAAATACCACATGAAATGTAAACATTTAACCTTTTATTTCCAGAGGTTATCTGGAAACCTCTCTGGATATAATGACATCATTACATATACTGATAAATGGAACCTTTCAACACCTTTGGAGTTGATTTTTTTTTACAATTTTTATAATTCAAATTAATATTAAAATATTTAGGCAACTTTGGTATTAATGTTTCAAAAAATAAATATTAATGCAAAATTCTGAGCAGATTAGGGACAATAATCGATATCCCTAAATTTCCCTCTGAAGATTCAGGAAAGCTGAAAGGAAGCCTTGTTTTGTACTTAGCCTAAATAACAATGAGATTTAAATATGAAGTGTTAAGATTCAAGCCCATTCTACCTAAAAGAAAGGCATTCAGTTTGCTCAAAATCCAGTCATATATCACTTAACAACAGGGACATATCTGAGAAATGTACCATTGAGTGACCCTGTCATTGTATAAACATGATTGAATATACTTCCACCTTTAATATAAAAGGTGGGTAGACCACAGCAGGAGATGCAGTCCATCGCTGACCGAAATGTCTTTGTGTGGTGCATGAGTTGACTCAGTGGAAGGTACAGCAACAGAATTGGACCTTTTTGAGGCTCATCTAGCACTTTGACTATAGATGATCTGATTTGATCTCAAGTCTTGCCTATCTTTTCTGTACTGATCATCTTTGTGATCCTTTGTATTTTTATAATAAACTCTTGGATAATCCCAAATATTGATGGTTGCTTCTCTACTCTCAACATCCATTGGCCTGACTTGGGTAACGTGAATTGTATTCAGTTGTGAGTGACCTCAGGCGCTCTATGACCTGGACTCTACCATACGTAACTCTATGACTAAGAGGCTGAAAGGGTTCTACCACTCTCAGCTGTGTGGGGAGCAAGAACAAAAGAGGAGGGAAAAATAGTGGGCGGCTTTTATGACAAGAATATGATAGATAAAGATGAATCAGTGATATTTTGGTTTTATCAGTTTTTGGAGAAACATACATATACACACATAGGCCACATTAATTTTACATTATTTATTGACCCAAGGCCAAATTCTACTTGCCTTTCTACTTTTCCCCCTGCTAAGAGATCTAGAAAAGCTATAAAATTGGAGATTAAAAGATTACTTTTTCTAGAGTCTTCTCTACATACCCCTTGGTACCTTGGGAAGATGTGACATGGCCAGGAGATATTATCACAGGCTAAGTTAATTAACAACAACACTCTCACTAACCTACAGCTGAAGTTACAAAATACACTTACAAAAGTTATGGCCAGGCATAGGTGGATAAGATTTCTCACATAGCTTCCTCTCTTAACCTTATCAGGTCACTACAGGAGAGCAGTAGACAGAAATATATTATTCTATACCATGAAAAGCCTACAAACTCCATTTTAATCAGCCAAAAGAACATTTTGCCCTAAAATGCAAAATGAAATAAGACTCTATAGACATGTAGAAGACTGTGTTAAATTGATGCCATCAGTCAGAAAGACTATTTCCAGTTGTCCTTCTAGGTTACTTCTGAGAAAAACAAAGATTGTTTAGATTTGCCTTCGCTAAGGACAGAATCAATTTACTTCATTTTACACACCTCTTCTAAATCTTTAATTTATAATCTGATCTTTCTGAAATTATTCTGTGCAAAAGGGTGTCTGTCATGTGGTCCAAATGTTCTGAAGTTCATTTTGGAGGACTTGTTCAAACATTAAATGAGGTGAGTATGTTCCATATCTTAGTTGATAAGAAACTTTCACTTTCTCAAAAATTTTCAGCTACAATATGCTTGATGTTACTTTTTTATACATCTGCATTTGAGCTGATGTTCTGAGGACTAACAGTGCTTTTGGTGTTTATGAGTGGTCTCACAACTCAGCCATCCACAAATTACACTCTTAGACTTATGCCTATTTTGAGAAATAAACTAGCAAGGCTATACAAGCAGAATTAGTTGCAATGCTTTCTACATAAACCAGCAGACATATTCCTAAGCCTCTCCAGTTATTACGATGGGCCATACTAGAAATACACTATTTTGTAAATGGGTGGAAAAAGAGCTAATATTGTAGTTAGAGGTTTTTGTTTGAGCATTTTCTCTTAACTATTAACTCAGGCTGCAGAGTATGGGTACAGATTTATTTTTTTCAAATACTGAATTAAATGTGAGAATCCCTGAGCAAGACAGACATGTACTCTCAAGGATTATGTTGTCTTCATTTGGCCTTGATTCACACATTTATATTACTAAAATTTTGTTATGGATCCCTGTTTTAGGTAATAGTCTTCTGATTGTAAGTATCTGTAATCCCATTTTATTCCCTTTTACTAAAAATTAGAAGACATAAAATCTTTCCTTATACTCATACCTAAGTAACACTACTGTGTAGGAAGCTTATGGGCACTTACTCTGTAGTAATTTTCTTCATTGTTAATATTGCCATTGTCTGATAGAATTTATGTTGTTTTTCTGGAAGTAGCTCTATTTGAACAAAAATTCCTGGAAAATGCATGAGTCTTCAGAGAAGCAAATAAATAGCACTTGGAGTGCAAGACTGCTCAGCTTCTAGTAACAAGAAACACATTGTGGATTTTATTAAAAGGGAAAGCAAATGGGTAAAACAGTCTTTTTCCCACTGACTTTATTTTGCTCAGTAAAATAAAAACATCAAGTTAAATACTAGATAGGGCTTTTTTCTTGAAAGCTGAATGCAATCCAAGTGCTTTGCCCTGGAAGTGATCTGGAAAGACTCCTTTTTCTGTCTCAAAATATACTTAGCTTCTTTTTTTTCATGACACAATAGAAGACTGTGTTAATTATAGGTGTAGTGGCTGGTTGAAATCAATTGCTCTCTTTATGTTATCTCCCAGAACATGAATCAAACCCTCAATATGAGCAGTGATTTCTTTGCAACTATGAGCTTAGGCAAATTACCTTGCTTATTGTCAGAACACTGACCAAATCACAGAGAATCAAACATTCTGTAACCTTCAAGGTTAACTTCAACAACTATCACACTTAAGAAATACTGACTGTGTGCACAAGAAATGAAGTCTATTCCAAAGCAATTTCATACAATTTCAAAAAGCCCCCCAGTAATATCTACTTTCATCTGAACTGCTAAATGACCATGAAGAGTGACAATTAAAATACCTAGTTCAACCTGTTTAAACTTTACACAGGGAGAATAGTCACTGTGACTGTATAGGCAACTTCAAAATGGACACAGTAACACAAAAAAGCCCAATCTATTTGCACTGGGTTTTGCTTGCTCTAAGTGGCAACCTAAGCTGATGCTCACAGCACACGAGACTACAGCAAGAGAAAGGGGTAGAAGCAGATGGAGCATCTCCTTCACTGTCATGAGCCCAGAGAGTAAAAGGAGTGAGGAAACCCTCTTATGTCCACAGATTTACAAACAAATACAAAAAATAAATAATAGTCTAAGACAGTACAAATGCAAACACTGTTCCCTTGTGTCAATCACATACAGCATGCCTACATATACAGAATGGTATTTCTTCTTCATTCAGACAGAACATATGGCAGTGCACTATTCAAAATGCTTTGATAATCTTAATTTTTGTTTCTGGTAATGAGATATTATGAAAGGAACTGCATTTGCAACTTATTAAATACTTCCAGGAACAAACAGTTCACTTTGTTCGGGACTTATAGTTTTGAGTAATTAGTCATCCATGGAGCAAGGACCAGTCAGGAGATACCCGTTGGTACCACTGGTCCCATTAGTGGTTGTTGCAGAGTGAAGATTCTTTCCTGGAGGTTCCGAGTCCTCCTCATCTGAACTGGACTCAATATCACTTCGATCATCCTTAGACACCTGTTGAATACAAGAAGGTGTGTAATCAGCAAATTGTGACCATCAAGGCATGACATATCTAGAAGCACATGCAAACATAAGTGAAAGTGAACTGATCCACTTGTTAAAAAACTCAAAGAGGATAAGAACACAGCCATGGTAAAAGCTCCCCTTCAGTGACAAAGTCAGCTATGAAGGAATGTGGGTGAATTTTGGCATTATGGTACTGGACTTGTTGACCTCTTTAAGGTATATTTCAATACTGAGAACATACTAAGCCAGGAATCCCATTTTTACTCCAAAGTGGCATATTATACTTACTGTACTACTGGAATTGCATTATAGGAATTGGGTATACTGGATCAATTTACTTGTTAATGAGCACATTCTCCTTGAGAATTATCTAAAGTCAGCTCTCAATTAACCACCCTAATGGACATGTTTGCTACCTCAGATCATTTAAAAAAGCACTCCTACTTGGTTTTGTACTACATTATTTTATTATTTAATTTGCTTTTCTGTCGGCTAAAATTAATATATTTCAAATGTCACATATCAAATAAAGGCACCAGAAGGCATTCTAAGAATCTTCTGGATAAGGTCCCCTTAGACCTCCAGGGGAAATCCACTGCCCAGATCCTTGGAAATTGGCCCCTATTGTGCCAATTCTTCAATCCTCTATTTGGTCTTATTACATAATGAGGATGGCAAGAAAAAAAAAATGCACCAGGATACAGAACTATCCTTTGACATAAAGGAAGAAAAACCCTGCTGTCTAGCAGAAAAGTAACTTTAGACTAAACGAAGGAAATATTGTATTATTTGAAAAATTAGGATAGTTTGAAACTCCTACTCTATTATTACAGTCAACATCTTGACCTAGCAAGCCTTCAGGTATTCAAGTAACTGAGTGTTATTTACTTAGTTTTAAGTGGAGTGGCCAAAGGGACCTGTGGACCTAGCTTCTTAGACATTTTCCCAATTTGGTCTCCTGTGATTCTCCAAGGGCTGGGCTGGGAATACAGGCAAATTTCTGGGAGGTATTTCAGAATTATTTGAGGGCTTTACCATATCATATCTCCTCTGTGCCACATCACACCAGCTTGAGAATCTTGGTATAAAAGCTAAGAACTGTTGCTCCATTCCACCCAGCAATGTACTAAAAATCACACAAATGAGCCTCACTTCAATGCCCTTTATGGTAAGACTGAACTCACATGGACTAGCCCCAAAAACTTACATACTGTGACATCAACGTGAGTAGAGGGTAAGGATTTTCCAGCTTCAAAGTCATTATCATAAGGCCCCACTCTGTTTATAAGCCCATTAGTCTCAAATTAAGTTGCTAATAGAAAACTCCAATAGCAGACGGTGATTAATTTGCATGCCTAGTAAGATTATTTTAAATTGCATTTGGAAAAATCTATACTTACCTTCAAAGAAAGCACAATTTAGAATATTGGAAAACAGCCCATGGACAAGATGAATAATCATATTGTCCTAGGTGAGAACAGTATTGGCAGTTAAGGACATCTGAAGCCTGAGTCTCGGAATGAAGTTAACGATCATCTCTTCATAAAGGCGCAGGAATGAAAGTTGGAGGGAAGACAATACACCCAGTGGAAATAGCAATGCAATCAGGATAAACGTAATCTAATCTACTGCACCCTTGCATCTTTACTTATTACCATACTGACAGTACTGTGCTCCTTGATTTACTTGTATCCAAATGAGGATAAGAATGCATCCACTAGAAATATGTGTTTATCTAAAAGAGTAAGAGGTCGTAGAGAAAAATGAACTTTAGCTTGTAAGCAATTAACTGATAAAAAATTTTGGACTCAGGCTGGTGCTGCAGCTCAGTGGTAGAGTGCTTATCTAGCATGCATGAGGGCCTGAGTTTGATCCCCAGCAATGAAAAAAAATCTACTTTTGGACTTGTACAGGCGCTGATGCTGAGAACTGCCGTCACAGTGTATGGATAGACGCCTGATTTCTCCTGTAGAAGGAGTCAGTTCTGTAGACCTTGCTGAGGACAATGTGGTCAAAGTGCTGCCCTGTGGCTCTATGTGGTTCAGGCAAACAGCTGATGCCAGGCCTCCATTCTGTGCTGGTTAATCCTTCCCCCAGGTCCCCAGTAAATTTCCCCCCTATTTCATTTACCTTGATCTATTTCTGTCCCTTAGTCAACTTGTTTAACACCAATGAAGAAATTCTTCTTTCCTATTGAATCATGCAAAATCTAACAGACTACACACTCACACAAAAGGGCCCTGACAAAGCTCTTCCTAGTATCTTTTGCATTTAATGGAAACTCCTTCATATAAAGGCTTTAGTCAATGCCAACAGATTAGACAGGACAATATGCATGAAACAAAAGCACTTGAGTACCCCTCTAACAGGCAAGTGGCACCCAGGACAGGGAAAGAGAGTATATGGGAAACTTACATGTAAAGGGTTCCACTTCCCAGCCTTCCAGGGTGGCAGGAGGAAGAGAACAAACAATGAAGTAAGAAAAACATCATAGAGAAGGATCTGGAAATGTCACTACTCTAGACAAAGGCCTGAGGCTCGGGAAGTTTTATTCAAATCAGCCTCATGAGTCCACTTTCAACAAAAGAGACTAAACTAAATTTTGTTGGAAAAGTCATGAACGTATTTATTCTTCAATTTGAGATAGTTTTGTTTAAACAGGCATAATGCATCAAGCAGCCCTTCTCATTGAAGGAAAGAAGTTATTAAAATTCTGTTAGAATAAATATAATCAGGGAAGGACCAAGGGAGACAGAGAGGAGAGAAAGAACAACAAATAATACATCATTATTAAATCTAAAGTTACAAATGCAGATCATGGGGCATGATCATCAACAAAGCAATAGAAAACTTTAAAAATGAACTGGAGGGAAGAAAATAATTTGGTTTGTTTCTAGGTGGTTTTGCTCAGTTTTGAAGAAATAACACTGATTTGGATGAAATCCAAAATAACAGTTGTTTCAGAGGAACCAAAAATACCTAAAAATTTCTGGGACATATTGAAAAAGTGAATTTTAGCTTACCTTGCCTTTTGAAACAGCTTTGCAAGCTATTTTTACAATCAAGTAAGACCAGAAGCAGTTCAACCCTTGTATTAGCAACAGCAGTAGGTTAAACACCCACCAGGAAGGGTAAGGTCCAACGATCTCCCAACTTTCAAATAATGTGGTATTTAACACCCTGAGAAGAAGAAGAAAGTAATTACTGAACACGACATTTCACTCTGTGTTCAAAAGAGCCCTAGTTACTGCACAGAAGCATGAGGACAACAATCTTCCCAGACTGCTCACTCCCTTCCTAGGGGACAGTAGAAGAGTCACTGTTACAGTATTGTCCTGTGCTATGACTTTCACTGAGTTTAACTTAACTAGTGTATTTTTCCCCATTTACTTTTTAAAAAAATGTGGCAAAGTACATGCAACACAACATTTGCCATCTTCACAATTTTAAGTACATAGCTCAGAGGCAAAATGAAATCCACGCTGTGGTGTAATCATTCCCACCATCCATCTTTAGAATTCTTCATCTTGCAAAACCAAGGCTCTTTATCCTTAAACCACAACTCTCTATCCTTTCTTCCCCAGCAACCACCTACTCTCTGCCTCTATGAATTTGGCTACTCTGGGTACTGAGTTTGGATGGTACTGTATACAATAGCTGTCCTTTTGTAATGGGCTTCTTTCATCTAGTATAAAATTTTCAAGGTTTATCTACTTTGCAGCAAGTGTCAGAATTTCCTTCCTTTTAAAGGCTTGTTGTACCAACATACCATTTTGTTTATGGATTTGTCCACCAGTAGATATTTAGGTGGCTTCCAGCCTTTGGCTATTATAAATAATACTGCCAAAGGCATGGTATACAAATATCTCTTCCAGTATACATACATTTTTTGGGTATGCACCTAGAAGTGGGAAGGCTGAATCAATTTGATTTCCTCTTCACTTCTGTCACAACTTCCTCCATTAATTTTAACTTATTTTTTGGGATGTGATTCTACATCTAACTCCTTATTAAAAAGCCTGCGTGGTCTTTGAAGTTGCTTTTGCGCTTTCAATAAGTGTGAAGATTATCACTCAATAACATTGCACTGCAAGAAGAAAAATTAACTACAAAAACATTAGTTAAGTGCAAACCACTGGCACAGTGTGAATTAAGAATATGTGTCAGCAACAATGGGATTGGACTTTGAGCACATGATAAAAGCGAGAGCACACAAGGGAGGGGTGAGGATAGGTAAGACACCTAAAAAATTAGCTAGCATTTGTTGCCCTTAACGCAGAGAAACTAAAGCAGATACCTTAAAAGCAACTGAGGCCAATAGGAAAAGGGACCAGGAACTAGAGAAAAGGTTAGATCAAAAAGAATTAACCTAGAAGGTAACACCCACGCACAGGAAATCAATGTGAGTCAATGCCCTGTATAGCTATCCTTATCTCAACCAGCAAAAACCCTTGTTCCTTCCTATTATTGCTTATACTCTCTCTACAACAAAATTAGAGATAAGGGCAAAATAGTTTCTGCTGGGTATTGAGGGGGTGGGGGGGAGAGGGAGGGGGCGGAGTGGGTGGTAAGGGAGGGGGTGGGGGTAGGGGGGAGAAATGACCCAAGCCTTGTATGCACATATGAATAATAAAAGAAAAAAAAAGAATATGTGTCAGATCTAGGCTTACATCTAGTGTGTGTGTGTGTGTGTGTGTGTGTGGCATTAGAGTACCCTTAATTTTGTAATGTATCCTCTTGGAAAGAATTGACAATTGAAAGACATCATTTTGAAGGGATGCTTTGAAATGAGTATTCAAAGGATTTGTTCTTAATAAAAAATCATTCAAGTATAATAAATGTGTTTAGTTTTAAGAATCTGTAGGAGTATGTACTTGAGTTAGGGAAATTTATTTGAAGTAATTGGCATTCTATAATCCGCTGTCAGAACTAGAACAGAACAGTCACACAGAACGAATGTATGAAAATTGGTTCTAGTGTTTGTTCTGGTCTCTGTTATGTCTGCTCCCAAGTCCTTGGAAGATGATTCTCATCTTCTGAACCCATATTGCTGACAGAGCAGCAAGATACACGTGGTTTTGGAATCACTCCTTTTTTTCCCCTTTGGTTCTCTTTAGCTGGCATGAGGCTGGTTCAGAGATCTAAGGATGTTCCCAGAAAACTCACCTAAGAGCATTTTCACCATCTGCCACCACAGCACTTTGTGGGACCAGATTCTACAAGAGGGGCTAAGTGGACAACAGCTTATGACTAAGGGACCTGGGTAGAAAATTCTTGAATTCAGACATGGACCATTTGTACTAAAGCACAAGACAAACATTCAGAGAATTTTAACACAGAAACAATGTGATTAGTGCTTTGAGAGAGGTTAAGAAAAGTACTTTAATTTACAAAAGGAAAAAAAGTACTTGTAGCAAGTAGAAGAGGTCAAAGAAAAATGGAGAATGAAAAATAGACACAAATAGCTTTCCCACTCCCAACATCAGCAACCCCATTACAGACTAGAACCAGCCAAGGTTGTTTTTAATCCTTTCATACTAGTTATAGCTAAAGAGCAATGCATAATAAATATATATGCTATAATTCTAAAGACAATAGTATGGGATTGAATTTCACAATTCACTAAAAAGTATATTACTATATGATACAATAAGATTCACTTTGAGGCAGGAGACCTAATATAAGGATATCTATTAATATATTACATTCAAAGACCAAATTAGTGCAAACCTAGTTATTTCAATAGCACCAAAGGAGTTTGGTTAAGGCCAATTCTCCATTGCTGACATTTAAAAATTCAAACTCAAAGGACTTAATGTGATTGTTAGCCCTCTCAAGTCAGTATATTAATAAACATGTCCTTTAAAATCAGGTGTACACCGCTGACTGTTAATTTAACCATTATAATATAACATTATTGTAGAAGTTCTGGTCGTTACTATGGCAGGAAACAAAGACGTATTTCAAATAGACATAAAATATCTACAAACTTTCAAACAGACAGACATAAAATATCTACAAATATTTTTTAAAAAACAATGAAAATATCCCACAACAGAGTGGTCAATAAATTACTTTTCATTCCTATTCCAGAAATTATTAAGTCATTCAAAGTATTAAACTTTTTGTTATTTTGCATTACTGGTGATTGAACTCAGGGCTTCATGCATGCTAGGCAAGTGTTCTACCACTAAGCTACATTCACAGTCCTTAAACATATTCTAAGAGTTTCCAGTGATACAGGAAAATATGTGATATTATCTCAACCTCAGGAAAACGTACAGAGAGAAACAGAGAGAGAAGGAGTTATAAATCCTTGAAAGGAAGTAATTAAAGCTATTATAATAAGACTGTCTCTGGTAGATTAGGAAATTTTACAATTTCTTCCTTATATTTTTCTCTATTCCAAAGTCATAACAAATAATTGGAAAAAATAAAAGTTATTTGTGACAAGAAATAAATTAGGATAATGCCAATATTGCTGCCTTGTTAATTCTCCTGGAGGTACTGATCTCTCTAAAATGTCAGGTTGCAGGCTAGGGGACAACAGGTCTAACAGGACTCAATTCCATGGCAGAGCGGGAGAACCCACATACCTTACACTTTTCTATTTCCAGCACTTTGCAAAACACCTGGAGGGAGTAAGTTCACTAGATATGCTTATTGACTGTATTTTGTTTATTCAGCAATCAAATAAATAAGCAAGTACAAGAAAGATCTAGAACAATAACAATACTTTAATTTCAAAATTAGCTCTGCTTCTTGGCACGTGCACTATACACTTTGACATTCAGAGAGAATTTAATTTCATTTGAACAAAAAGAGGTCCTACATACAGAGCACCTGTGACTGCATCATGTTACACATTATGAGGTAGCCATGGCTGGATTACAGGCTGAGCACCTTACACAAACCTGTTACCATCTCAGCATGACAACCCTAGCACGAATGCTGCTGCTTGGCTTAATTTGAACATTCTATCAGAGTGGCTATGACATGGCATTCCCATTAATTTCAGAAATGCTGCATCAGCTCTGCTATGACAATCACTGGCACCTCTGAGACACCACTCAAACGTAATAGGGTTTCTCTGAAAATTGGGCTGTGTACAAAGATGCTTGGGAAAATATAACCAGTGCATCAAATGGATCTATGGCTAAGCAAGAAGACTTGTGTACATAGCACAATGAAAAAATGAAGAAAGTACTGTGTGGGCCAAAACACACACACACACACACACACACACACACACACACACACACACACACACAGTCAATTTGTGATTCCTGGCTTGAATAATTACTATCACATCAGTGTTTCTCCCCCACAATAATTTGTGTACAGCATATTGCTTCTCAAAACATGATTTTCTCCTGAAGTAATGGTTAGCCTACTGCATCAAACCTCTGTTGCTACTTAACTCAATGGTATAGAGAACAGGGAGGCAGAGGGACAAGTTTTCTTTAATGTCAAGTTCACTAAGCCACTAGATGGCATACCTTGCACACACAAAGCATGCTCAAACAGGTCCAATCTGCCAGAATCTTTTGCCAAAGGGGAACCCTAGTGCTGAAAACACTTGATCTCTGGGTTACACCCTCCCTTGTACAAATCCCGTCAAGCAATGGGATGAAGAGGCTCCAGTCTGAGCCTTTCTCTGCATGACTCTTGATAGACAAGGATGACTGCAACTCCACAGTTATTCACTGGGGATGTGCAGACACACCACTGGCTACCCAGTAGCTTAGACTGGGTTTTTTTTTTTTTAATGGATGTTTAATGAATCATAGGAAATTAATATGGCTATGCTCTATTGTTAAGTTTTCTTCATTCTTACCTTCTGTGGATGATTCATCTTAACTTTGATTCCCACAAAAATACAGAATAAGGGGAGTGGAATGCAGAAAAGTATACAATGATTTTTGTTAAACAAAGAAAACACAAAAGCAGTCTCATTTTAATAAGGTATTTTAGGCTGTATTCATTTGCATTCTAAGCACCAATGCTACTTGAATCATTCTGTTTTCCCTTTTCGCTTCAGGATCAAGAGCTCTGAGACTGTCACAACACAGTGTATAAGGATTCACACTGGCATCTCATTCAGAAAAGTCATCTCTGGTGCTTAATGTTTTCATTCTCATTGTGACTTCCAAGTGAGTGTTTAATAGATGCCAAACATC